GCTTTTTGGTGGAACATGTTACTTTTTCCCATTTTTGCAGTCTAGACACCATGAAATGAACTTGAATTAGCTTCAAGATGTATTGTCTGAACAGTTTTGCGTCAAATACCCGTGCGCGCACATTTTAGAAAATATTTGATTCTTAATTTCTTTTTAATTTTGGCTTTATTCAAAACAAAAGTAGCATGCGATAGATCTAACTATAGGTAAATTGGAACGAGGAATTCATTTCTGTGCTCCAAAAAGACATTGAAGCGTTCTGATCGGCGCGCTAGTAGCCCTGGTATAGGAAGGCGACAAATAGACTTAAATTATGACTTTTAATATTCCAATGAACATGAGACACAGCAATTGTTTAATGTAAACAGACCCCATTAACTTAATACTTAATTACTGACATACTACATGAACAAACATTGTAAATAGTCCATTAATACTAATATGGCTAAGACCAAGACCACATGAGTGCTTTTAAACTAGTTTTGACAACAGACTTTCTGAAAGTTGGAATCCTTGGGTTTAATTAACTAAGATCTACATAATGCATGTAAAACATGTGGTAGGATGAGCAACAAGGTCACTGCTGGCTGCTAGCGTACCACACGTGCTTCATATTCATTTTGACATCGTAAATGACTTCCTTGTGACCAGTTGCCAGTAAATTGACATCCAAAATTCTGTGGAAAGATTACTCACAACAGTAGGCGCGCTGTACAGAATTAACCTGTAAATTGAAATAAAACTCAAAAAATATGGGGTTAGATGATTCAAAACGTAATTGCTGGCTACTAGCGCGCTGAAAGTGCTCAAAGTACATTTTTGACCCAATAAATAGAATCATCGACACATGACATGTAAAATTTGTGACAAGATGACTCCTAATGCAACATCTGGCTAATCTGTTTTGACCACAGAAATATATTCCTTGTCCCAGTTTACCGGTAGTTTGATGAATCGACTGCTACTTTTGTTTTAATTAAAGCCAAAATTTTTAAAAAATCTTGAATATTTTTAAAATGTGCGCGTGCGCGGGTATTTGAGGCTTTTAGCGCAAAACTGTTCAGGTATTACATGTTTGAAAGCATCTTGAAGCAAATTCAAGTTCATTTTATGGTGTCAAGATTGCAAAAATGCGAGAAAAAAGTAACATTTTCCACCAAAAAGCACGCGCGCACTTTTGATCGGATTATTTTAAAACTGAACTTTGCAGTTACAATACATAAGTTTGAGTTCACATACGAAAAATCAGCGTTCTACGACAATTCTAAGATATGTTAAAACACTGTTTTAATTTTCCCGAGAATAATATTTTTTGTGCCCCCCCCCCTTTCTTAACAAAGAAACTTTAGGCATTGTTTCTAACTACTCAAATGTTAATAATTACATAAGAATAAAAAATAAATATTTTTGAAAAAAAAATTTAATTTTTTTTTTCAATATTTTTACAAATAACAATTTTAAAGCGACTTTTTGATGCAGATAATAATTTTTCCAAATATTTTTCTGCAAAAATAAATATGAAGAAAACAAACTTAATACAATTGAAGAACAGATAGAAAAGATTAGTAAAGAAAATCTCAATTTTATTCCTATCTCTGTGATGCGGGAAGGTGGGTGCAGGGGGGGGGAGGGTTTAGGGTCTGTGACCATACCGGAAGTGGGCCGAGGAAGACATAGGGGGGACAGCCAGCTTAAGGGTGAGATGGAGGAGGGGATCAAATATGAGAGAATTATTGAATATCAAGGTTCTAAAAGAAATAAGTAAAAACACCTAACAATATTTTTCTCCTTTAAAAGAAACTTTTTTAAACTAAACTTAAAATTTTAATTCCTGAACGTTTTGGGAAAAAATAAACAATTCTAAAACTTCTTGCGGGTAAATTTCAAATAACAATTTTGTGTATATATTTTCATTTTATATTTTCTTTACCCCGCTTTTGAATATTTTTCGTAAACAGTCTCTTCAAAAGTTTCTTAAAAATCAAGAAACAATTCAGGCCTAAATTCCTTTAAGACGTTTCAATGCTAAAGTGTGAAGTAGAATATTTGTGTAATTACCCGGGTTCAGATTTCTATATTTGTTTACATTGTGCAGTACATTGTTTGTATTGAGCAGTACATATAGATGAATAGATAGATGGATGAATTGATAAATAGATGAACAGAAAGATGGATAGATAGTCTTATTAACTAAGAACTAGAATAGTTCAAACCCTAGGACATTAAAACTCACACCCAACTTTATAATATATCCATCCATCTACCTATTTATCCATCCGTCTGTCAGTCAATCTGTCTGTCTGTCGGTCAGTCTGTCCGTCCGTCCGTCTGTCTATCTATCTCTCTATCCATCTGACTATCTATCTATCTGTCTATCTGTCTATCTTGGCATTTAGTCCTGTTAATCAGTTTTATAGTTAATTATAGCTTCATAATCATCTGTGGAATTAAGAAATATTAAAACTAAGAGACAAAAAATAAAGTTTAATTTCTATTTTGTGATAAAGAAGCATAAGCAATAATGAAGTAGTTAAGAGTAAGAATAAGACGAAAAATTTAAGTTTAAAGTTTGTCCAAAAAAATTAGCGGTGCTAAAACAATGATTGTACAGTGTAAAGTGTACAGTGTACAATGTACAATTTGTACACTGTACATAAATCAACTTCGAAATAAATTTTGAATACCCAGAAATATTTTCCACTTACCTAAAATTAAAAAAATAATTATTAATATTTTTAAATAGAAAAGGCTTAATTTTTTATTCGAAAAAGAAAACTAGGTACCAAATCAACTGTTCAATGTGGGAGGGGGGGTCTTCAATTCTAATTCAATTTTCTAACCTTTTATCCAAAAAAATATTTATATTTCCAAAAATGTAAGGAAATTCTACATTTTTGCTGATATATAATACTGATCTATACGTATATATATAATATACACATACATTTTAACATTTGAAGAAACTTTTTAACTATAAAAGAGATTCCATTTGTTTTCATAAGAAAACATAAAAATGAGATTTTCTAAAATCAATCAAAAATTTTACTATCGTAAATTCTATTTTCGGTATTTGGAAAATTTGTCAAACAAAAATTTTCTCTTCCGCTTACTCTAAAGGCATGTACATTATATATTCTGTTTACTCTATAGTGCATTCTGTATGGAATAATATATATACTTTACTCCAAACTTTCCTCGAAAACTTTTCAAATAAAAAGTTGTATAAAGAATTAAAACCGCAGAGAAAATGACAATAACACTGCAAAATATTGTGTATATATGTATATATGTATAGTTCTACAATACATGATCAAATATGTATTCAATCCGTTGGTCTGCACAACATGGAGAACCATGCTTGATCCTCAGATTGACAACATAGTGAGGACTTTTAGTCAAAACTTCAGTGTTGTCAATCTCGGGATCTCCATCTTCTGCAGTGTCTATACGGACAAATTAGATTCAGTTTCGTTACTCTTTGGTGGGGGATAACTTCATTTGAGGGATCAAGCATTCCTAAGTGGATATCGAGATCAAACGTGCGATACTCAACAAAAAGTTCCGTTATCTGATTAAACTTTTTCCATAATAATAATAAATTCATAATATTGCCAATGCCAAAAGGTGTTTTTCCCTTTTTCCCTTTTTCCCTTTTTCACATTGAATGCCTCACCATAATGATAATTAATAAGCATTTCAAAATTGTAGGCAATTATCGAATAAAAGATTTTAGTTCTACAAAAAGCCGCATCCTCAATTCAATCACGTTGATTATTTCCAGCGACCCCCCCCCCCTCCTCATAAAGAAAAATCCTTGCAGATACACATAGTCGAAATAAAACGTGAAAAATAATATTATTTTGGAAAATAA